GGCACCCCCACCCCCCACGGGAGGACGTGCGCTGCGATTTAACGTGCGTAGAGTCTCATAATCGCACGCACGCGAATCACTCAACCTCGAAACCACACCGCGCCGTGACCGCTGCCCCAAACGTGTCGACGAGCGCTTTAAAAACCGCCGTCCCAAAATCACCATGCACAAGCCACGGTGCCACGACCTCCGTCCTAAACCCGCCACACCAATCAGGGCCGAGTCGGGGCACGCGGCTCGTCTTCGGCCAGACGTTCCGGCTCGCCACGCGGCGCGACAGCGCGTACGGACGCGCGACGAGACCCGGGCGAGCGTGGGCCCCGTCGGACCTCGGGGACGGCCACGGCACTCGGCCTGGCGCCGCTCGCAGATCGCGGGCCGTGCCGATTCAGGGAGCCCGGCTCGGGGCAACATCCAAGAGGGACATTCCCGACGGCGGCCCCGCCGATGGCCCGGCGAACACGACCGCCGCTGCTGCAGCCGGCGATGAGCAGGCGGTGGACCCTGGCATGGCGCCATCGCAGCGGCAGCGCTCTCCTGGACGGGGAGAGCCTTCTAGGAGGAGACCGGTGGCCATACAGAGCCGATCAATGCCACGAACGAGCAAATAAAGAAAGCCCGGCGGCACTGCGCCGAGCGACCGGGACGCCGTAAGCGCACAGCGCCGACGAACGTCGCCGCTGCTGCTCCACGCCGCGAGTGGCGCGGTTGTAAAACCCTAAAGCTCGGCTCTCCGGAGACCCTCGCCCCCTCCCTCCCCGTAATGAACCCCAACGCCGGAGGGGGGGGGGGGCCCGGGGGGGCTGTTCGGGGCCAGCGCTATAACGCGAGGCGCGGGAATCGATAGAAATTACCGCCTCGGCAATCTCGACGATTCGCACGGCGTGACAATCGACGTATGCGGCGAGGGGGGGGGGCATCACACCCCAGCCCCCGCGCCGCCCCACCCCCCCCCCCCCCGTGGGTAGTGAATCATCGTTGTTGGTATCGCGAGTGCACCGTGTACGCGTGTCTGTGTGCGTAGTCTGTTTAGTGGGGAGTGGTAGAGCAGTGGTTCGCCACTCTTCATGGGACTATCCTAGGTCAACTCAGCCTTAAATTAGTACCTGCTGCGGTGTGTAAAGATCACCATTGAGGAGACAGAGGCAGCCAGGTGTGGCGGTGGTCACACCACCCTTCATAATGTGCTCGGAAAATAGCAACTTGACCCAACAGCCTGTGTAGGCTATATGGGAAATCTTGGTCTTCATTGTTGTCATGTGCGTGTGTTGACAAGCAGTCACCATTTTCCACCAAGAGGCAGTAACATCACTACAGTGCTCGTGTCATGCTAGGTGCACTTTCGGGTCACCACGTGAAGTAACGCTCGCTGCCAGCAGCTGCCATGCTGGGTCGACTGAGATGACTGTGGCTTGGACACGGGCGCAAACGATTGGGCCGCTGCGTGGCAGGGCCGCTGTGTGCCCGTCCCTGCCAAGTGAATGACTGCAACTACCGACACGACGCTGCCTCCTGTGTGAAGCCTCTTCAGGGCTCCCCTCTCCTCCCTCCGCCCCTCTCTCCCCCTCTCTCCAAACGCACTCTCCAGCCCTTGGCCAACCAAATAACTGTTTAGTCAATATTTGCTTTGGAGATTCATCCTCTTATTCCGCTTAGACTCAAATACAAATAAATAAAATAAACAGGGGTGGGGTGGAGAGAAGGGGGCTGCCTCCCAATTGTAAATTCGGGGGAGCAGTTCACTGAGATGAAGGGGTGGTGGCGATGTGACTGGGCGACTGGGCTTTTGTGTTGATGGGTGGATACAAGAATGGGTGGAATAGGATGGTGATTAAGTGTCTGGCTCTGTCCGTCTATGTCAGCATGTTCATGTCTATGTGTGTCTGCATCTGCATGTGTCTCCATGTCGTGTGGACGAGGAGTCTGGGAGGAGCCCTGAGGTGTCATGAGACCCTGGAACAAATCGACCACTTCTCCCACAATCCCTCTGGAGCCCAGAGCAAATTATCACCACTGTGATCTCTACATTGGGTCAAACTTAACATCTCTTAATGTTCGACGACTTGTGCACCAGATCTTATTTATTCACGATGTACTTACAAAAAATCCGCAGACTACCTGCTGGATCTCCTCTTTGTTTCTAAGAACAAATGTGGCCTAAGGTCTTCGCTCATTTACCAGCTTCACATTCCTTATTGCCGTACAAATACTGGAGGAAGGGCCTTTGCTATTGAGGCCCCCAGGGTCTGGAATGCCATTGCCAATAAACTGCAACTTGAATCACTACCTATGAGATATTCTCTCAAAACTGCTCTAGAGGAGTTGTACACCCCTAGCTGCCACTGCTATTCAGTAGCCTAAAATCAATTTTTTTCGTGCCGGATGACTGCTGCAACGTATGATCTTGTGTTTTGATTTAGTGTGCTGATCTTTAAAGGTGCATTTGAAAAATGTTGATACTCCTACTGATGCTCCTGCTGTTGTGGAGTGACTCATGCAGCCAGCTGTGGCTACAAGGTTTGGTGGTACATGTTGTTTATGTCGTTTATTGTGAAATTTAGGTCACAGTTCCTATGATCACTTTTACATTGCTTATGGCTTTATTTTGGTGATTTCGAAAACGTTTTTTTAGTTTGGCCATGTTTATTTTTTGTAGTACAGAGTTAGAATGATGGCTTTAATCTAAGTTGTCTTGTGGTTCATACTCTTTAGTTCTATTGGGTAAAGTCACGTAGGTAAAAAATAAAATAACAAAAATCACGACGTTTCGGCCACAACACAAGCAGCCTTCATCAGGTGAAGGGACGAGACTGTCTGTCCTCCAGACAGTCTCGTCCCTTCACCTGATGGGTCATGGACAAGGGTCGGCCCAGAAAGGAGGTAAAAGAGGTGAATTATAGATGAAGCTGCTGCTGCTTCCTCCAGACAGTCTCGTCCCTTCATCTGATGAAGGCCGCTTGTGTTGTGGCCGAAACGTCGTGATTTTTGTTATTTTATTTTTTACCTACGTGACTTTACCCAATAGAACCAAAGAGTATGGATCCTAGCAGTCACGAAAGCTTTAAATCTAGAATTGTCTTGTGGTTGTTGTTGTTTGACTTGCATCCCACTGGGATTTTTGCACAGCGTTGGTGTACGGTGCTTTTTTCTGGAAGACTTTGCAGTTTTTTCCTGGATTTTTCTGTTTGCGCATAGTCACTTGAAGATGTTTCCTTGTTCATGTTTTTGTTTGTTGCGGTTGCACCCGATTCAAGAGCTGAATGGCTCACAGGGCTATACCAAATAAATGAAACTGAAGACTAACGAGCCGCGCCTCCCCACACCACACCCCGGGCCTCCCCACACCACACCCCGGGCCTCCCCACACCACACCCCGCGCCTCCCCACACCACACCCCGGGCCTCCCCACACCACACCCCGGGCCTCCCCACACCACACCCACACCTCCCCACACCCCGCGGCTTAATGTACACGGAGTGAATGTTTTCAGTGGTATTGATTCAACAAAAGCAAACTCTGAACCGGTTTTGACATCCAGTCTCTGATCAGCAGTCAGGCTCATTCGAACCAATGCTGGCAACCTGCCAGACTTCCTTTGAGACAAGGAGCATATCTGTGAGAGACATTCCTTTTCCGACGCAGAGCGCTGTGTGGACAAGTGGAGACGCGCGAAGTGGCAGTGCGGTCTCCCCAACACGTCGCGTTCCCTTCACTTTGACGGCGGTCGCTGCTTCTCGACTTTGCGATCACAAGTCAAAGGTCAACAGTCAGGGTCATGGACAAGGGTCGGCCCAGAAAGGAGGTAAAAGAGGTGAATTATAGATGAAGCTGCTGCTGCTGTTTCCACACGGCTTCCCCCAGTCCACCACACTCAGCGTCCATGCTCGCTCGCTCGCACGCACGTGCATGTGACAAAAGACAAAGATCTGCCGTATAGCCTCAACAGATTTTTGAGGTCAGTGCTGTCGCAAATAACCCTTTGAAGGCCGGCACGGCACAAGAGGGGTGGGTGGCCAGCCCCATCCCCGGCCGCCTTTGTCTCTATAGTGGCGATGTTTACACACCGCACCAAGTTCTCATTTGAGGCCTCAGTGGACATCGGGGAGGCCCAAGATAATGTAACTGGTGTTGGTCGTGAGTCTGTAGTACAGTGCGCCCCCCGAAGCGCAACACTACCACTCCCCACAAACACATGTAAACATTCCACTCACACACAAGTGCACCAAACACTCACTTTCGCACGGCACAAGCGAACACACGCACTGGCTAGCTTACACACACACACAAACACGCGTGCACTGACACATGCACACAAAGATAACGACCCCCGCTTTGTCTCCCCAGTGCTGATGTCTCTATATGTACACAAACAGATACCACACACGATACCAACAACACAGATACCCACAACGCTTACCAACAATAAACACGTATAAACTCACATACAGACAGACCCACCATACACAACACAAACATGCCCAATGTAGCCGTACGAACTGTTGGGGCAAATTATGTTAGCGAGCACCTATCAAGGTCATACGCGTTCTGACGTGCTTGCCATCGTCCTTGCTCGCTCGCACGCATGCACATAATCTTGCCTCACTTCCACAATTACTCAAGGCCGTGTCAGCTCACTTCCTTACATGCTCACTCATGTGCACAAGTACGCGCACTCACGCACGCACACACACACGTGCACACACTACTGTTGGCTTGGACGCTCACTCCCTTTTTCACTAACTCGCTTGTTCGCCCACTCACACACTCCCATGTTCCCCCCTCGCTCCCTCTCTCCTCGTCACCAGTGGCTCCCCTTGCCACATCACCCGGCACCTAGAACCAACCCCGGTTTGCCCCCAGCGCAGAGTCATGGTCATGCGAGAATCCTCTGCCCGATGAGGGGGTGAAAGAGCGAGATAGGCAATAAGATAAGCGAGGAGGTGATGTAGTAGGGACTTGAGCGAGCAAGGAAGCGAGCAGGTGAGCGATGCGAGCAGTGAGGCGACGTGTGGGTAAGCGACTCACATGGCGCCCTCGGGCTTGCGCCGGCGCTGTTTGCGGCGGTTAGAGCATGATGGCCGTGACGACGAGGGCGATGATGAGGACGCAGCGATGATGCCGCCCAGGATGGCGCCGACGCTGCCCCCCCCGGCCTCACGCGCCGCCGGCTTGTCTGTGTGACAACGATACCCCGCGTAGCGTTACCGTGCTGCCGTAGCAAAACAACAACAACTACCAGAACTGGTTCAAACATTTGTCACCGATGTTGGCCATGAGTGGGAATCACACCAGAGGCACCAAGGTGCATAGCGCAGTGCGCTAACCACTGTGCCACCATTCAAGTAAATGGCAAACACAAACATGGTTGCAAGGAGACACACAAAAGACAAAGATCCCCTGCATAGGCTTTAATTGACTGTTGGGGCAAATTCTGTTAGCAAGCACCTATGAAGGCTGGTACCGTACAAGAGGGACTAGGTTGCACACCACACCCGGCCGCCTTTGTCTCCCCAGTGCTGATGTATACACACCACAAACAGTTTTTGATTTAAAGCTTTCGTAAACTGCAGGGATTCTATATCTTGGTTCTTTCGGTCAAGTTACATTGGAGAAACCAAACGACATGTCTCGGACCGCATTCGTGAACACAAAGCAGACCTGAAACACGGTAGACCAACACCTCGGCCGTGGCAGATCACTGTTATAATTCAGTAGGTTCACATGACATTGACTTCTCCAAGATAGAGGTTATTTGCAAGCCATCTGGCTACCATGAGAGATTCGTTCATGAGGCTATCCACATATACAAACACAGAGACAATTTCAACCGAGAAGATGGATTCTGGCTTAGCAATCATTGGAAGGATTTGATAAACCATTTCGGGTCTTAATTGATTGATCACGCTTAATGTGGCTTTCAGACCGCATCCATTATTTTTCGTCTCCCCCCTCCTCTTTTCCAAACATAGATGGACTCGTCCATCTGAATAACTGTCAAATCGTTCTCCGTGGTGCTAACGTAAAAAAAAACGGCACTTTTTTTTGCAAATTTTCTTGTTGTGGTTTTCACACCTGATGATGATTGCTTGTGTTGCAGTCGAAACGTCGTGAGAATTGTATTGTTTTATATTTTATTATTTTATTGTTTCCCTTCTATGTGACTTTACCGAAAGAACCAAGAATATTCCACAACAGTTGTCATTAAAGTGGAGTCGACCTCGGGGTGAGGCCCAAGACCGGTTCTGATATTCGTTTACGAATGTTGGCCATGAACAGGATATCAAATCAGGTCGAGCCACCGCTCCCCCAACAAAAGCGTGCACGTACACACGCAAGCACACATGCGCGCACGCGTAAGAACACACGGACACACAACAGAATGTGAAATCCAATCACAAGTGATTGGAAACGGATTGAGCGATGATTGTGGCACAATGAACGGGGAGCGCCGCACCTTCATTTACGCCGCGCGTGTCTGGGATGGCGACCCAGAAAATATTTCCACGCCCTGCACACCACATCCAGTCGACCTGTTCTCGCTATAGCTACTAGCCACGTACAACGGACTAGGGGGAGAGGGCAGTGCTAATTTGTGGAGCTGCCGGCGTGGTGTGGACGCGGGGGAATTACCCCTGGGCCTCAAGCCAACTCCCCCATGTTTGGCAACAAGTCAGCTCCCTCCCCCGCTGTCTCTCCTCGCTCCTCCTCTGTCTCCCCTTCCCTCCCACCCTCTATCCCTCTGTCTCTCACCCTCACCTATTTCTCCCCTCTCTCTCCTTACCCCTCCCCGTCTCTCTCCATCTGTCTCCCTCCCCCTCTCTTCCTGTATCCTACCCCCTCCCCCGTCTCCGTTTCTCTCCCTCTTTCTCCCCCTCCCTGTCTCCTCTCTGAATTACGGCTTGTTTTTTCTAGACGCACTGGGTTTCATTGGGAGAAAACTATTTCGCCCTGGGCAGCCGAGAGGTTCAAGCACTCACGTGCATGCTCGTGCACGTGAGTGTGCACGTGAGTGTGCGTGTGTGGGGAACGGTGTGAGCTAGTGGCTAGTGGGGGGCGGTAGAAAAATGGTGAGCGCGTTGTGCTACGAACCCGGTGAACAGAGTTCGATTCCCACACAGTTCAACATCGGTGACGAATATCTGAACCGCCCTCCCCTAGGTCAACTCAGTCTCAAATGAGGACCTGTGCAGTGTGTTAAACTTTGCTACTAGGGAGACGACAGGGCGTGTGCCCATACCAGCCTTAATAGGTGCTCGCTAACAGCACTTCCCCCAATAGTCAGTTAAGGCAATAGAGGGGATCTTTGTATTCATGTTTGTGTGTGTGTATGTGTGTGCATGTGAGTGTGTGCACGTGATATGTCTGTCTATGCAGAGGGGGGAGGGAGAGGACAGAGCAGTGAGAGTGGAGGGAGGGTAGAGGGAGAGCGGGAAGGGAGCACTGGTATCCAGTCACCATGGCGAGTAATTGGACAACGCTCGGATGATAAATCACGCGGTGGGGAGATGGAAACAGAGCAACCCACCCAGCCTGTCGGTGCCCCCCACCGTTCCCTGCCCCCCACCCCCCCCATGGCATCACAGCTGACGAGAATGTGCGGAGAGACGCGACGCACGCTGCTGTGTCCAACGCGTGCATGTGTGCATCGCGGCTTTAGCGTGTGTAGCATGTCGAGCATATGTAGCGTGTCTAGCAGGTGGGCCGTGTGTAGCGTGTCTAGCAGGTGGGCCGTGTGTAGGGTGTGTGGCGTGATGGCCGCGTGGGGGCCGCGTGGGGGCTGGCTCACCCCGGATCTCCACCTCGACGACGCCGAGCCGGTGTTGCCCAGGTGTTTTGCGGCCTCGCACACGTAGACGCCCGCGTGGAGGTGCGACAGCGCCGTCGAGAAGCGCAGCGCGTTCCCCAGGCGGCGCACGTCCTCAGACAGCGACGCGTTCACCCTTGGACGACGACACGCGGACACGTAGGACATGGGAGCAGACCGTTAGAGGCACGTGGACACGGGGAGAGGGGAGCGGACCGCTGGAGACCATGGCTGCCCATAGACATTACAATAAATCTGTTAGGGTGACTCTTCCTGCTCACACGGCATTGTGTGAGGCAATGGTGCTCATTTACTGTTCGCGGCCCTTTAGAGATAATGGTGGAATAAGTTCCACATTCCTATGGCAAGTCTCTCCATATAACCGCTGTTGAATTTCACACTAAGTGATATTAATTGTATCGACCCAAAGGGATAATGGGTGGAGTCAAACTCCTCCCTTCGCTCCCATCATCACCAAACAGGATTTGAACTCGTGACCTCCCTATTGCAAGCTGCAGACCTCGCAGAGTTCTATCCTATCAAACCGTGCGGCCTCTAGGGAGCGGAGGTGGGTGGAGGTGAGTGGGGGGTCGTTGCCCCCCCCTCCCCCCTCTACGCTTTGCAGTGGCCACGGTGATTAATGGCCTCGATCGCGGAAACATTAATTATTCAATTAATTAGGGGCGACACGGCCGACCTTGACACGCGGGATTGTCACGCAGCACGCTGCACATGGGATCAATCACTGGAAGCAAAATCATTAATAAATATGATGCGCTTATGAATGTGTGTAGGTGCATTGGTGTGTGTGTGTATGTGCATTGGTGTGTGTGTGAATGCGTGTGTCGTCTTGTGCGTGTATATGTACGTGTGTATGTATGTTCGTGCATGTGTACGTGTGTTCATGTGCGTGTGTGTTTTTAGCAGTCACCTGCCCAGGGGGGGGTTAAGTTGCTCATGAGTTCTGGGCCAATGGGGCAAACCCCGGCCATCACTCAGCGAAGCGTGTATGTGTGCATGGGGAGCTTTAGTGTAGCGGTTAGCGTGCTACGCTATAAACCCGGCGACCCGGGTTCAATTCCCGCTCACGGCCAACACCAGTGACGATATCTGAACCGGTCCTGGGCCTCCCCCAGGTCGACTCAGCCTCAAATAAGTACCTGGTGTCATGTGTCAACATCGCCACTGGGGAAACAAAGACGGTCGGGCGTCTTTGTTTCCCCAGTGCTGGACACCCACACCCTTGTTGTACCGGTCCGGCCTTCATAGGTGCTAGCTAACAGCACTTGCCCCTACAGTCTGTTAAGGCTATATGGGGGATCTTTGTCTTTGTGTGGGGTCTCAAACAGGGAGCGCAGGAATTAGTCCACTAAGCTATGAACCTGGGTTCGATTCTCACTCACGGCTAACATCAGTAGTGAATATCTGAACTGGCCCTCCCCAAGGTCATTATCTCCAGTTTACACAGCAATGAGCCAGTGGTGGAGATTCCACATTCACGTGGTTCAGGGTGAGTCTATCCACAGGACCACCTATATGATGGGCCGAGTCAATGCCAACTGGAGTCGAACTGGCAACCTTCTGATTGCGAGCCGCTTGCTCTGCCACTGAGCGCGACAATAACCGACGGGCGACAATTCAACAAGCTCTACTCTTAATGATGGAAACAATTAACGACCAAACAATTAACGACCAATGGCAATAAAAGGTGATGCGCCAACGACACGCGGTGACGAACGCTGCCTCGTCCGGGTGGATTGGAGGGTAGAGGTCAGAGCTGGCACCGCAAAGAGCCTGGGTTCCAATTCGGGGTTGCAGCTGCTGCTCGTGATGAAACGAGGTGGCACTCGCGCGTAGCGAATCTATGGTCTCAGTCTGCTCACGTATGACTCACACAGAGACCCAGAGACTCGTGCAGAGACCCTAAGACCCGTAGGCTCACAGAGACCCCTAGACTGCCACAGGCACCCACAGATTCACGTGTTGGGTTTATGCTATGATCAGTGGCTGGTTCTCTCTTGACTCGCATATCAAGCCATAAATTAATATAGAAAGGCGTAGACTCACAGAGCCAGACTCGTACAGAGAGGCCGAAACTCAGAGAGGCACAGCAACTCAATGTTAGACTGAGTTTAGTCTATCGGATTGTTCCTAGGAGAGTTCACGTGACCCTGTGTTACACACGGATGTTGAACAACAGACAAAGATACCCCCTATAACCATAACAAACTTTTGGGGCAAGTGCTGTTGAGCAAGCACCTATGAAGACCGGCACGGCATACTGGCACACACATACACGTGCCCATGTACAACGCAAGCACATGCGCGCACGAACCCACGCGTACGTACTTCTTCCAGGTGATGGTGGCGGGCGGGTTGCGACGGTCTGGCACAGCAGCTCGGCACTCATGCGGCCCACATACCAGTTGTTGTCGAAGCCTTCGATAGCACGTTGACCTCCGGGACGTCTGCGCAGCAACACGGCCACAGGGAGAGGAGGGCGTGAGTGAGCAGAGGGAGGGATGTGTGAGGAGAGGGAGACGTGAGAGAGGAGAGAATGAACGTGGATGCGAGAGAGCGTCGTCCGTGGGGCTGACGCGGCGGTGGGAGGGGAGCAGAGGTCGTGTGGACTCGTGGTGCTGCTGGGTCAACCTCCCCAGCAGGGCACCTCCTGCTCCTCCTGCTCCTCTACATCGTCTCCACCACTTCACCAACACTTCCAAAACAGCCTCATCTCCACCATATCACCACCTCCTCTCCATTTCATCACCACCTCATCTGCACTTCATCACCATACTGCCCTTTCTTTTACCTCCCTCCCTGGCAGGCTCTTCTGGTCCCATCACCATCTCATGCAACACTTCCCCTGAGCCCTCCTCCAAAACCTTAGACCCTCCCTAGACATTTAAGGCCGAGCCGACTTTTGGGGAGGCCCAGCAATGGCTCAGATTTCCGTCACCAAAGTTGTGCTGTAAAAAGGAATCGAACTCGGGTCGTTGAGTTTGGAGAGCAGCCTGTGCCACCGATCCTCCACACGCGCGCACACCGAGTTCTGTGCGCCAGTGTGATCGCTCGTACCACTGTTTGCGCAGCAGCAACGAGTGTGGCTCATCGCTACGCAGCAAGGGCCAATTATCGCGGCTACAGACGACGTGGAATTAAAACCCCCAGCCCCGAAATAATGAACCTAGGCCGCAAGTTCATCGGCTCGGCCGAGACCTGGGTGCCCCCAAAGTGCAACAGGGCCCCCACCTCCCCCCCAAAAACGCAAACGCGTCGAGCATCCGCCACGGCGCGGTGGAGTGGCGGTGTTTATTCTCCTGACCGGGACCGTGACCTATCAGCCGAACCTTCCACGTGAAAGTCCCAAAGTTCGCCAAGCCTGGCACGATTGCCATGAAGCCGGTTTCTGGTGAGATTCTAATTATTCTGGCGTGGAGTGAGATCACGTCAAGCTACAGTGTGCCGGGCCTGGGCAGTTAAATTCCTCTTCACACGCAGCCGCTGTCCACCAGCATCACCACTGCCACCACCGTCGCAACAACCGCCACCGCCACACGCTCGCCACTCAAACGAATACAATTAATCGGGCAAAGCGAAGCAAATGTAAGGAAGCCAAAGGAAGCATGGAGACGTCACACGAGCGCTTCCTAAGCACACCACTGTGCACAACACGCCGTGAGCAGGGAGAGGGAGGGAGAGAGGGGAGAGGAGAGCGAGTGCAAGGAGAGATTGGGGAAGGGAGAAAGAGGGGAGAATGAGAGAGGGGAGGGGAAGGAGAAGCCTTAGTCCGGAATAGATTAATTAAGCTCTGCACCCCGAATCTTAATTTGGCTTCTAATTCACTTGACCACAGGTGGATCAGGGTGTGGATAGTGGTAACGGAAGGGGGGGGGCCTCATCAGTGGAGCGATTGGGACGAGCTTCAGCCACACGGAGGGTCCACGTGATGAACCTTGTGTGATCCGAGTCTGATCCACTCAGTATGGTTTGATCCACCCCCAGGTATCGTAGGATCTATGCTGCAGGGTTTAGTCTGGTTCACCTTCACCAGCCGTGACCAATCCATGGCTGGACAAACGGCTCCCCGAGCCGTCGCCCTCTCTCGGTCCTGTGGCGATCTGAACCTGTACCGTAGGTGGGTTCAAACGGCAGGCGTTTGGCGCAGTCAAAGAATACTCTGCCTCGCAAAATAACCGCGCCCGCCAGCGTCGATCAGGGCGGCCCGCTAGGTCCGAACTGCGGACCTCCGCGACGAGCCGTACCGAACGCCTGGCATCCCACGAACGCCCGGCGCGGGGTGAACAATCGCGACCACTCGATGCCGGCGCGCGTATGAAACCCGGTGCGTGTGAATGACGCACGTATGAATATATATTGCTGTTAATGCCACACGCGTGCAACAGACACAGCAGTAGCACCGCCGATGCCTCTCGGGTGAATGGGTTTGACGAGGGAATGCGCCGAGAGCTCAAACTGGCGGAGCGTGAAAACCACGGGTCCGGCACCGCGCCGTGGACATGCACTGTAGCGAACTGGAACGAGCGCTCGTCAACAGCACACACACACACACCGATGCATGCAGACGCACGCAGGCACAGATGCGCACACATACATACACACACACCGACGCACGCTGGCACAGACACGTGCACACACACGCATAGAGGTGGCTACACTGACGTATAAGCAGACTCAGGTTACCGGGTTTGGGGCGCAGATCATTAACCACCCCACACACACAAAGACCCCCATGTAGCCATAACAGATTACTGGGAATAGTGCTGTTAGCAAGCACCTGTTAAGGCTGGCACAGTGCATCAGAGGGTGGTGTGGCCAGAACCACGAGTAGCCCAGTCGTTGTGTTTACATACCATGCCAGGTATTCATTTTAGGTTTACTTTCGTGAAAATCCATAAGCGGCTCTCATCGTCGCCACTGACATTGGCCATGACGGGATGCGAATCTTGGGCGAATGGGTTCGTCGCAGTGCGATAATGACAATGCCACTGCTTCCCACACCCCCACGCCACCCACACCTCTCTCACTCTCAGCCACTCACCCTCACCCACTCTCACGTTCACTCTCACCCCCCCCCCCTCTCTCGGACACTCACACTGGATGCTGAGCGTGGTGGCCATTGTCTCCCCGGCTGCGGCCAGAGAGGGGTGTCTGGCCGTTGCACTGCAGCTGCTGCCCGTCGGCGGCGCGCGAAGGCACTAGCCGGAACTCGCTGGTCACGGTGACGGTGCCGTCCGCCTGCTGCTCGCGCCGCTCCGTGCGGTTGCCGTGCAGTGCTGGCGGGGTATCCCATGTCAGCACTGCGGGGGCCTCCCGCCCGCCGCTCGGCACGTCGCCGCGGCGACCTCTGTCTCATCGTCCGACGCCGCGAGACCCGGGGTCGCCTCCCGGGTCAGCACCGGCTTCACTGCGGCGCCGCGGGGAGGGGGGGGGAAGCACAGAAACAATGGTGATGGATGGTGCCTCGCAGCGCGCACAGCGGGACGGGTACTCATTTAAGGCGGAGTTGACCTAGGCAAGGCCCAGGACCGGTTCAAATATTCGCCACTGTCGTTGGTCATGAGATAATAGCACGGCGCACTAACGCACACGTGTGTGCGCAGGAGTCCTGCGCTGTAGTCATCTATTCCGCGAGCGAGTGAAGTGCGCGAGCTTCAGAGCTATCGCATTAATTATCAAACAGCGCCCACAGACAGCTCCGGCTACTGCCAGCGGTCGACTCATATAAACATAGAAAATAAGAACGAAGGGATCTTCAGTTTCATTAGATTTATCTTCTTTAAACATCCAAACCGTTTCCCCGTCGCTCTTTCTTCTGCCCAGGCTTGAATCTGAAATTCATGAACCACTTCCACGTTCGGAGGCAGCGTTAAATATTTATGGGCTAAGCACGGATGTCGTGTCACACCTTAAACAGATCGCGAGTGCGGAATATTAAACAAACACGCGCAGACAGCGGTGCCGCACCCGCTCGCTCTCTCTCAGCACCACCCCCCCTCTGGGGCCCAGCTGGATTAGGTCCGGGCGAGAGATCTCCTCACACGAGCGCCGCCCGTGTCGTCCACAGCTCCCACAGGCGAGAGCAGCCGTGTCGCCAACTCGGCCAATTGTTGCCAGATTTTTTTTTTTACAGTTTCTTGGGCAGTGGCCCAAAGGCCCCCCCGAAACGTTAAACAGCCAGGAACAAGCAGCACTCTCAAAGGTATAATAGATAAGCGCGTCAAGCATTTGTTGAACTGAGCAAGCTTATTATTGTCAGAGCTGCGGGAAAGGAATGATGATGGGAGGAGGGGATTCCAAAGTAGAGCGGTGCGAGGAAGAATCAGAAAGAAGTGAGGTGACTTGCAGTGTGGCGAGTGAGTGGGAGAGTGGGCCGCTGCGTGAGCGAGTGTGTGAGCGAAGTGGGTGGGCGAGTGGGTGGGCGAGTGGGGGGGCGAGTGGGTGGGCGAGTGGGTGGGCGAGTGGGTGGGCGAGTGGGTGGGCGAGTGGGTGGACGAGTTCGTGAGCGAGTTCATGAGCGAGTTCGTGAGCGAGTTCGTGAGCGAGTTGTGACCTGCAGTGTGGTGGTTGAACAGTGTGGATGAGACAAAATCGTCAGTCTGGTAATTCAGTGGAACAGTAACCATGGTAGTCGCAATAGAAGAGTGATAAGGCGGTGACTGACCGCCGGCGATGTGAACGAGTGACGGGCAAATCGGTGAGTGCTGGATCAGATTGCCCTATGATTGTGTTACTGAATTCTGACCGGTACAGCGAAGGATGCTGTGTCAATTCAACATGTAAGAATCACCCGCATCGTCGCAGACCATATGCGCAACAGAGTAACCAAGAAAACACTTTCATAATTGATGTTGGGGTCACATCATGCGAGTAGAATGTGTCGTAAACCCTCCTCCACCTGACACAGCCAATGAATAAAATGATCACGTGGTGAACAAACGTTCCAATTTATTACAACTACAACAGCACCATGGTTAGTGCTGCTGGAGAGTGATCCATGCATGTGTAACGATTGGATAAGTACGGTACGCTGATCCTTACAACCAGCATCATCAGGAAAGCTGCCAGAATTGTGAGACCATCCTCCAGACTTGGGCCTCAAATAGGGGATGTGATGTCATCCATGTGCACCCACAAGATAGCAAGGGAGTGGCTGCAGTGGTGCCTGGAGGAGAATGGAAGCAGGTAGTAAAGCCTCCTTCCCACATGATCTGTCCCTCCATAGAAAAATAGTCGTTTTACACATCCCATCAGCCACACAGCCACCTATGAGTGCATACTGTGCTAATTTATTTTGCTGCTGTCTCCATGTCCAGCCCACGACCGCATCTCCCGGACAGCGCCCAATCTCGTCACGTCTCAGAAGCTACGCAAGGGGGTTGGAGCCTGCGGTGCATGGATGTTGGTCACAACATCCCTGACGACCGCGCACAGACGAGGGAGGCCCCCTGTCCAGTAGTGGAGTGATAAAATGGGCAGCTGTGCATGTGCGGAGGAGCCCTCACCAGATTAAATATATTCAATTGCACAAATTAAATGTTTAGTACAACTTGAGAATGTTCAGCTCCCGACTCGTTGGACCAAGGATCTGGCCGTCACCGCCTATGTATCCACCGAGCAAAAGCCCGACGGATATATCTCGAAGCCGAGACATGAAACCAAAACTGTGCAAAATCGCGCGATCAAGTGCCAGATCAATGCCACCCCCAGATCTGACGCTGATCCATCTCTAGCACCCGAACGCAGACCCCAACCACCGGACTCTCTGGGTCAAATCCTGTTAGGTGGATGACCAAAAACATTGGATTTGACGCCAGCGCTAGCTCGGCAACTAGAGGCTATTGCGGGCCTTACTGGCCATTAATGGGCCCGAGCGTGAGACGAATTGGAGCCAGCAGCGCCATGCGCAGCGAGAGTCGTTTGGGAGGTTTAGGGACAGGTGAGGTCCCTGCCATCGCTGCCGCCGCGACTCTCGAATCTGATTCGTCGCCAATAAGAGAGCCTCCTTGGTATGGGCAGTGGGGAGGAGGAAAATGAAAGCAGCTCCATCGAGTGGGAGTCAGAGGAGCTGACAGGAGGAGACCGCCCGCAGCTCTCGCTGCCTACTCCAGCTCGGTCGATCCATCACCCCAGTTCCAAATCAAACGATGCGAACCTCACCGATGACAGAGAGGTTGACGCGTCCCTCGAAGGTTGCGGTGGGGAAGGTGGAGATGTGGCAGAAGAAGACGCCCTCGTCGCTAGTGAGCACGTCGAGCAGTTCAAGCGAGGCGTCGAGACGCGGGTCCTTGTTGCGAAGCGCACGCGGTCACGAAGGGTGAGTTGGGGTACGAGGTTCCAAACTGCGGGTTGTACACGGCCAGGTTGGTCTTGTCCCGGCTGTCGCCGCTGAGAGCCTTGAGCCAGCTCACCTGCGACAGGTTCGCCGTGCCCCGCAGGGTGCAGCGCAGCAGCGCCACCTTCTCGCCACGCAGCACCGTCACCTGCTCGTCCGTCAAGATCTCTGCCAGCGAGCCTGCACGCGTGCGTGGGGAGACGGGAGAGTCGGGCGGAGACGGAAGGTTGGAGGTTAGGATTGGCGGAGGCGTCGATGGGAGTGCCCCTCTCCCCGAGCGGAGATGCATTGGCGCTGAGCAGGGCAGCGTGGTCACACAACAATGGATAACAGCCCCGCGTCCAATCGTGCGCGGCGGTCGTGGCGAGTGATTTCGTGATGCTTAACCACAATTGGCTATTTTGCACGCAGGTGAACACACAACATAGACAAAGATCATGGCTATTTATTGAAAAAAATTAGCCATGATCATTAATAATTTCCTGGGTGAACAAGAGAACAACAACAATAAAAAAACTCGACAGGCACCGTGCAGGAGAAACGGACGCTGGAACAGCACAGAATGTGCACCCCGGTCAAACACGAGGTGCAGCTGGTGACAGGGTGAGACGCAGCGCAGACCCTGTCAACCCCCACCTCAGCACCCTACCACTACACCCACCCCTCTAACCCACCCAAGCCACCAACTCCACCCTTCCCCTCCCCCCCACACAACTCTCCTAGTACACCCACCCCCACGCTTAATTGGCAGTAATTAACGAGTACACAGGGCAACCTGGCGGTTGTACCCGACTACGCGAGGAGAGGAGCTACGGAACTCGCTGGATAGCACGGGGCCAGATCCCTCTCTCTCGTGCATCTGTGAATGTCTTTGATTGTGTGCGCGTGTATGTGCGTGTGCGTGTATGTATAGTCCGGCAAAACAACCCCCCTACCTCCTCGCGGTGCCGGAACGGACAACGCTGCCGTGGACAGTGCTGTGGGGGGGAGGGCCAATTCCGATTGGCTCTCTCCCCTCATGGCGTCTGTGACCACCACAGTGGCTAAATGGGGGCTCTGGACGGGTGTGAGGGGCTGGTAACCCCTCCACCTTCAATAAATTACACTAAACCACGACTGAAATATCTAACTAATAAGCTTGTGCCGGAGGCCCCCGGGGGACAGGCATCTATGACGTCTCTGGCCAAACCCCATTCTGGCGGAGCCAGGAGATTGCATCTTTACCCTCGGGGCTCCTCCAGAAACAACGAAAAGCCACTACGGATGGCCACGTGGAATGTTCGAACGCTCACTGCGGAGGAGAGGCTGGACCGGTACCGCCTGGATCTCTGTGGCATTCAGGAGGTCCGGTGGAACGGTTCTGGCTCCTGCCACCATGAGGGGTGGACAGTCCTCTACTAGGGCAGGAGACTGCCAAACAACAGGGTGTGGCTCTTCTTCTGATCAAAAGAATGAAGGGGGTGTGGGAGTGTGGCAGTGAGGTGTGGGAAGCTGTAAGCCCCAGGCTACTTTTGGCTCACCTTCCCATCAACCGGAGGCTAGGAGTGGTGGTCGTGGTTACTTATGCCCCCACCGAAGACAAACATTCGTGGAGGGATGCAGGCAAGGCCGATGAGTCAGATGCCTTCTATGACCTCCTGTCACAGGTGCTGGCTAAAGTGGCCCCTCGGGATAGAGTCCCCTTGTTGGGTGACTTCAATGCCCGAGTTGGTCATGATGCTGGCACATGGTCTGGAGTGATTGGAAGGCATGGGGCCAGATCAGCTCAATAACAACGGTAGGAGGCTGCTAGATTTTTGTTGCAGCCCATGGGCTCGTAATTACCAACACGTTTGTTCCGGCATCGGCACATCCACACAACATCATGGATGCATACCGGGTCCAAGCAAGAACACCTGCTGGACTACATAGTGACGGACCAGCAGATGCGAGCCCATGTCCTTGACACCAAGACCTACCGTGGAGCTGATCTGCCCTCTGATCATCGACTAGTCATCTGTAAGATTCGCCTGCCATTCTTTCACTCCGGTGGTGAGTGTACACCCTGGACCCATTCCAACCTAAGGTGGCCTGGTCTCAGCTAGCTGATGAAAGTTGCAAGCGAGAATTTCATCATCGCTTGCGGCTGGGGTGGCATCGTCCCCCACTCCTCCTGATGTCTAGGGTAAATGGGCGAGGTTTAGGACTGTGACTCATGCAGCTGCAATGGCTGCTTTGGGTACGCGGTTTCAGACCTCCCCAGAGACCCTGGCTGACAGAGGAGGTGTTCAGGATGATTGAGAAAAAGCGACAGGCCCACTCTAATCATCTACAACATCCCACGTCAGAGAATGACGACACTTACCGCAGCCTTCGCTGGGAGGTTCAGAGAGCCGTGAGGCACTGCAAGGATGGGTGGTGGTCGCGGGTTGCTGAGGAGATGGAGTCTGCCTCAGTGGCCCGTGATCACAAATTCCCTATTTAACTCCATCAAAAAGTAACCTGCAGTGCCACACCTATTACCCATAATTAGGGGAAAAACAATGATCCAATCTCCAACCCCTAGGAACAGGTTTGCAGATTTGCTGAGCATTTCTGTGAGGTCCTGGGGGAGGGGAAATCCCTCCAGCCAGGAAAACATCGTGGCACAATGTGGGGATGACCCTGCTGAGGCTGCGGTGCCTCAAATATTGGAAGAAGTCACCCCCTGTGAGTGGCTGACTGAGGTGCCATCTGTTGAGGAAGTACTGAAGGCGATCCAGAGTCTGAGACCAGGAAATACACCAGGTAGAGATGATCTCCCAAGCGAAATGCTGAGGGAGGGTGGGCGTTTGTGCACAGACTGCCCTACATGACATCATAACAACAGTCTGGACCAGTGGATGGGTTCCGCAGGATTGGAAGGATGCCCTGGTGGTCCCCCTCTTTAAGAAGGGGGACCGCACAGACTGTAACAACTACAGGGGCATCTCACTCCTCAGTGTGCCGGGAAAGGTCCTGGCAAGGATTATTCAACGTCGCCTTGCTAGGCACGCTGAGGAGAAGCTTGCGGAGCCACAATGCGGTTTCAGGAAAGGGCGGTCCTGCACAGATGTCATATTTTTTGTCCGTCTGCTACAGCAGAGGTGTAGGGAATTCCAACAAGACCTACATCTCTGCTTTATTGACCTGGTCAAGGCCTATGATACCATCAGTAGGCCTGGGCTCTGGGTTTGTTCTTCGTGCTTTCGGAGTCCCTGACCCTCTGCTCACGATCATTAAGGACCTTCATGATGGTGAGCAGGCCCGAGTAAACTACGTGGCCGGGAGTCAGAGCCATTCCCTGTACACCTTGGGGTTGCGACAGGGATGTCCTCTGGCTCCCACTATTTAACATCTATTTTGACCACGTAGTTCGTGAAGCCTTCAATAGCTGTACCGGGGGAATCTCCATTTGGTACAGATACAATGGGAGGCTGATCGATGCCCGGGTGCGGTCAAGGGATGGCTCCCTAT